TAGCTTGCCCAGTGCCTAGGAGGCTGTCTCGCCTAGGCTTGGGCAGGCCTTCCCGAGCGGAAGTTCTTAGGCTTTCGCCCTAGCAAGCTAGGTGGGTGCTTAGGAACATTCATAAAAACGACATTTTTTTTTTGCATGTTTGGGGCCATTTTGCGCCTAGAATCTGGGCAGCCCAGTTGAATCCAAAAAGGATTCTACAGTTATATGTTGTATAAAATATAAGAATTAGGTATTTGGGGCACATCAGAATTCAAAGTATAGTACAAATTAGCACACACTCCATAAGTTACCATAAGTCGGTCCATAATCCATATCCAATTAAAACTTAAAATTTACCATTCATAGTTCAATCAAAGTTCAAAGTTTAATAATTATTCAACATTCATCATTCATCATCAGAAAAATTAGGGTCAGCTGCATTGGTATCATATTCATCTGAATTGTCATCCTCGTCGACATATTGGTCGTCCTCATCTGTCTCTTCTGAATCTGCCTTTTCTTCCTCCACCCTCGTTCTCTGTGCAGAAGATCTAGTGGCCCTAGGAAGGTCAACTGGTGTCCTTGAAGCATCTATAACCATGTCCCATGTCAATCCTTTATACCCCTCGACTCATCATCATCAACTAACCGCTCCATAGCGTTGTCCATATTTTTTGATCTAATGGGGTCTCTCTTATCAAACATGTCCTTCAAGAATCGATTACACTTGACATAGACTAGGTCATTAAATCTCTTTGATTCAAGCTTGTTCCTTCTCTTTGTATGAATCTAACAAAATCAAATGAAACTAATTAAAGTCTATGGTTCATGTATTATTAATACAATTATACAAATTACCTTTACGACCTTACCCCTTCAAAAGCACTCCAATTGCGCTGACAACCGGATGAGGAAGTGGTTAGGTTTAAGATCTGAATGATCAACTTTTGTAAATTTGGAGAACTACACCCATGTTGGCTCCACCAATTGGCTGCAAAGATATAGAATAAAATCATAAATAAATAATAGAATTATAAAAGAAACTTGATTACGTGAACTTGATGAGCTTAAGAATATTATTACTTCTTGGATCAATTTTGGCCCTTTACCTCATTGCCATTGGACTCCCAAAAGACTTTAATGAGCACTTGTAATTTATCAGCTCATCAGCGCATATAATATCTTGGATATCAGGATCAAGGACTAGCACATCTACAGACTTATTAAATCCAATCATAATTGTATCATTTGTGTGTATATCTTTGTCAACATAAAACAAAGCTGGGTTCAAATAATAACCAGCTGCATGCAATGGCTGATGTAGCTGCGTATCTCACTTCTCATCAATAATCTCTCGAACAGGGTTGTAACAGTTCTCATCATCATCAAAATTTTGAGCTCTCTTTCTTGCATTTCTCCATGGCCTCATATATATAGCCCATATAAGGCTTGTCACTATCAACCATGCGAAGGACTTTGACAAGAGGAAAAAATACCTTAAGAGCGGCCCTTCACCTCTCGCCAAAAAGCCTTAGAAAGGATAATATCTGTCACCTTTTTCCCAACTTGATCCTTGGACCACTTGCATGCTCTCCAGTCATCCGAGGTAAACATTTTCCTTAACTGCACTCTCCTCGAATGTATGTTATCTAGGCATAAGTACCAGGTCGCAAATCTTGTGACCCCAGGCTTCACAATCTCTTTCTTCCTTGTAAATCTACGCATCATGCTGAGGGTGGGATGGTGGCCATAAAAGAAATTTGTAATTGACTTTGCCTTCTTCACTGCACCTGATATCTCGGTTAAACCGGCAAGAGCCTCAAGCATGAGGTCTATATAATGTGCTGCACATATTGTCTAAAAGATTTTAGGATAAGCTATGCGCAACAAATTAGGTGCAACAACATTAGGAGCAACATTGTCTTGACAACCTGTACAACATGATGCTCCCCAACCTCCTTCATTCCCTTCTCTAAAACTTGGAATATGTAATGAGCATCATGGATATGATCAGAGGCATCAATAGACCTCAAAAAACTAGTCCCTAAAGGACAATTCATAAGCAAATTCATCTGACTTCTTCTCTTCTTATCACTCCAAGCATCAGTCATAATAGATACCCCATATTGAGCCCATGCATCTTTCTTAACTTCTACAGCTTCTTTCGTGACACTCACCGCCTTTTTCAAAAGTGGCTCTGAAAGCTGGGGTTGGGGGTTTCATCCCAGGCCCAAATTGGCCAATTGTCTCTACCGCGGCATAGAAGTTGCTTAAGCGAGCAGTATTGAAAGCAATGCTCGCCTGATAAAATCATGTAGCAAGATAATAAGTAGCTCTCTCTCACTCTTCCTTTGTCATTCTATTTTCAATGGTGGTTTGCTTCTTTGTTTTCTCTCCTGCAACCTCAAGGTCAGACCAAGGCTAAAAACTATCCATAGGGCCCATAACCCGAGGCTTCTTACTCCCAGAACCAAAACCATAAAAAATTACGACTCCCTTTCCCTTTCCACTAAATGATTGTTCGACTTCTACCTCTTGACATTCCTCCCCAATCCCATCCTCATCACTATCATCATCATCATCATAATTGACCCAAGCCCCAGACCTAATCTCTGCTATGGAGGCAAATCTCTCATCTTTTTTCATTTTTACCATATTAAAAAAATTGGTTATTTCTTCTTTAACAACATCAGCAATCTTTTTACATGGGGCAACATCCCCCCTGATACTAGCAAGATGTTTCTTGAACCAGTTTATGCCCCTTTTGTATCCTTCTCAAAAAAATTGCATCTTATACAATTTTTATCATTAGGATCTAGGTTGTAGCCATATTCCCAACCGGGATCGCCACTCCTATGAGATCTCGAAGAAGACATCTCAAAATAATGCAATTTATACAAGCAATAAAAAAAAAATCACTTACTTTGAGTTTGATTGCTCAATCTTCAAACTTCCACCTCAAAGATGCTTCTAAGGACTCAAAATCTTCTAAAAAACCCCCCAATAGATTTATAAAACATCAAAAATTAAGTCTAATATCAATGGGTGATGTTTTGATCAATTTCTCATAACTTTGAGGAACCCTTCGATCTCAAAGAAATCACGAAAAACTAGTTTTTTGGGGGCTTTCTCTCTCTTAAATGGGCTCCAATAAGTTTTAGGTTTCAAATGGACCTAAAACCCATAAAAGAAAATGGACAAAAAATACCCCCACCGAAAGCAATTTCCGCCTCTGGGTGGGGCGCTGGACCTGGGCTTCGCCCAAGTCTGGGGCCTAGGCGGCCGCCTTGGCGGTTTTCTGGGCTTGTAGGCCGGCGCCCAAGGACCATCGCTTTTTTTGGGCACCTAGGCTTGGGTGATGTGCCCAGGCTCCCAGATCCGCCTAGGCGTCGGGTGGTTCGCTTTTTGGAACACTGAGCCGTACCATATCTTAATGTGACTTTTTTGGAAATGCGATTTTTTTTGGATTTTGTTGGATATTTCTATGTTTTGGGAATGCGAAATTTTGAAATATATTATTGCAATAAATTTTAAGGTCCAAATGAAGTTCTTACAAAGATCTTTGGGGTAATTCTGAGCTTGTTAGACAATCAAAAAATTGAGCATAAAACATCGAAAATATTGAATAATTAGAGATCTCTTTCTTTTCATTTGCATGCCATTTTTTTTACAGCATCATTTTGTATTGGTATTTGGTCTCATTGGACACTTGGAGTCCATAAGCATGATTGTTTGAAATATGGACTACTGAGTATGCTGCATGGACACTAAAGGACTAGTACATCATGTACTTGTTTTGTTTCTTCTTCTTTTTTTCACTTTTTTAATTATTTAAGCAAAAGTTTTAAGGATTTGAAAGTGTCAACATTCACACACAAATTTGCATAAAAAAGGTGGTTAGAATAGATATAAATGTATAAATACGCATAGGCATATATGTGCGTTTAGAGAGCACATATATGCATATATGTGCATGTTTCAAACCTCTGGGCACCTGAGGTTCTGGGTAGCTCGCTTGGGTGCTGGGCACTCGAGACAACCCCCCGCCCCTGCGGGGCGACTAGGGACCACCCAGTGTTTTTCTAAACCTTGCTTATGAAGCAATGGCTTCTTAAGCTTATAAGGATTGGGCCCTTCAACCCTGGTCCAAAATTGCTTCCGATATTGTATAAAAGCTACTTAAGTGAGATGCATTAAGGGCAATACCTGCCTGATAAACAACCGATGAATATAGTAAACTTCTGTCTTGAACCTATTTTTGATCGTAACTTGCTTTTTCTATTTCTCAACTGCATCGTTGGGATTGGGGGGCAAAGGCATCCATTGGCTCCTTCATACAAGGCTTCTTCATCTACAAGCCTCTCATTGAACTTTGAGAGGAACCCACTTTTATTTCCCCTCTGTCATCATCATCATCACTCCCATTGTCACCATAGATATTCACCCCTTCCCTCAACTCTACGATACTCTCCTCTTTTTCTTCCTTCTTCCCTTTTTCGGCATCCATATTCTCAAGAATCTCCTTCCTAACTTCTCTTAGGACCTCCTTACATGGGGCAATATCCCCCTTAGTACTAATGAAGTGTTATTTAAATTAATTACAACAAAATCTGCAATGGATTTTGTTGTCATTTTGTCCCAAGCAAAAACCATATTTCCATCCTGAATCTCCACTCCAATTAAAACCTGTTGTAGACTTTTGGAGAAATTAAGAAATATCAAATGCAGAGATAAGAACGAACCTTGTGCGATCTTCGATCTGCAATGTTTTGGATGAGTATGAACCTTTAAATCACCTTAAAATAACCCTTATTACTTTTTTGTGTTCCACAATGCTTCATATAAAAGAGACAAAGTTTGAGATGATTCAAACTTGGAAAAATTCTTTGATAAAAAAAAATCCAAAATTTATGGTTGTTTTTCTAAATTTTTTGGGTTTCAATGCCTCTAAAATTATTTTAAGGTAATATTCAAAAGAAAAAAATTACTTTAAGGGAGGTTGGAAACACACCTAAGCCTCTTTTCTTCCCTTATTAAGGAGGAATTTTTGTGGAAATGCTCGACATTTTCTACCGTTGGGCAAGGGCAAAACCTAGGCGGACGCGTTGGTCTAGGCATTGGGAGCCCGCTTAGGCGACGTCCAATCTGCTTGGGGCGGCGCCAAGGCCTCCCAGGGGCTCCCCACCTTGATAGATTGGCTGTTTTCTCTTTCCTTGGTTGATTGCTTCAAGAGATTTACGTTGGGGGTTTGAGATTCAGTCAAGGAAAATAAGTAAAGTTCTTAGAAGTGATGGGGGATACAAGTACACCCTTAACTGTTTGGTAAGTCCAATGCGGATCAAGGGATAGGTTCCGCAAGAAACGATATCCTATGCTCAGCATCAAAATGGTATCGCAAAAGGAAGGAATTTTTCCCTAATTTACAAGGGAGTTCCATGATGGCAGAAACACATATCGTATTGACCTTTTGTTTGGGAGATGCTTTGTTGACTGTTATGTACATTTTTACTAGAATTCCTTCAAAACCTGTGCCTAAAACCTCTTATGAGTTGTGGACCAGTAGAAAACTTGGTCTATCACATCCCATATGACTAGTAATCTAGATTAAAGGTCCATGGAATGTCCTTTCATATGATATGTTACTTCAAAGGTATATCCTAATCTATGATTTTGAAATGGGTGGAATCTCATGATGTCAACTTCATTTTGTCGAAGTACTTAAGCCTTGAGAGGTCGGTGGGATCTTAAATAGGGAATGGTGAAGCGATTCCTCTACTAAAGGGCTATAGTGTGAGTATTCCTATAGTCGTCAAGAATAGTGGGAATGAACCACCATTCATTCTCAAGCATCAAAGGAGTGCAAGTGACAGAGTTCCCCATAGACATTTTGAGATTGAAGGGGAATGCTTGACATGTATCTCCATTAATGAGGATGAATCAGGTCTATATCAGGAAAGCACTGCAATTCTTTGTTGTGGCCAATTGGATTGCCACAATGTCCCAAGAGATTAGTTCCATGGCTATGGTCGCTCTAGGATATTTTTTTACGCTTGGAGTGGGAGCGCTTTTCCGGTATAATAAGCAGCAGACGTGTTTGCTATTGACTTCCTTAGAGGCGAAGGACATTGCTTATTGTGTAGCATTTGCAGGAGGGCTGATGGCCTAGGAGGTTCTTGCAATG